CCCCAGCCCGGGTCTCGGCGTCGAGAAATCAAAAAGTTATTCCTACCCTACGGGTAAAATAGGGCCGAGGCGTCTGAAAGTAAGAACAGAACGCTCAAGCCCCGGGGCAAAAAAGAGGGATGCAACACGAGGACTTCCCAGGGGGTCACCCATACTAGTACTACTCTCGCCCAAACACGCTTAACTTCGAAGTTCTGATGGGATCATGTGCGTTAGTGCCTGTACGATCGTACCCGCTAGGTAACGCGCGCCCAACCTAGTTATGGCGCCTCCCGCGGCCGGCGTTCCATCTCGCCTTCTTTGCGGCGGCCGACGCGCCACGGTAGTACGTCAGGTTCGGCCGCGGGGGACTCTCCCTCCGTTGTCCTCACACTTACGGACGGAATTACTGCGCTACGCGGACCCAGCCCCAGCCCGGGTCTCGGCGTCGAGAAATCAAAAAGTTATTCCTACCTACGGGTAAAACAGGGCCGAGGCGTCTGAAAGTAAGAACAGAACGATCAAAGCCCGGGGGCAAAAAAGAGGGGTGCAACACGAGGAATTCCCAGGGGGTCACCAATCCTAGTACTACTCTCGCCCAAGGACACTTAACTTCGGGGTTCTGATGGGATCCGGTGCGTTCGTGCTGGTATGATCGCACCCGCTAGGGAATGCCCGCCCAAGCTAGTTATGCCGCCTCTCATGGCCGGCGTTCCATCTCGTCTTCTTCGTGGCGGCCGACCGCCACGGTAGTACGTCAGGTTCGGCCGCGGGGGACTCTACCTCCGTTGTCCTCACACTTACGGACGGAATTACTGCGCTACGCGGAACCCAGCCCCAGCCCGGGTCTCGGCGTCGAGAAATCAAAAAGTTATTCCTACCTACGGGTAAAACAGGGCCGAGGCGTCTGAAAGTAAGAACAGAACGCTCAAAGCCCGGGGGCAAAAAAGAGGGGTGCAACACGAGGAATTCCCAGGGGTCACCAATCCTAGTACTACTCTCGCCCAAGGACGCTTAACTTCGGGGTTCTGATGGGATCCGGTGCGTTCGTGCTGGTATGATCGCACCCGCTAGGGAATGCCCGCCCAAGCTAGTTATGCCGCCTCTCACGGCCGGCGTTCCATCTCGTCTTCTTCGTGGCGGCCGACCGCCACGGTAGTACGTCAGGTTCGGCCGCGGGGGACTCTCCTTCCGTTGTCCTCACACTTACGGACAGAATTACTGCGCTACGAGGGACCCAGCCCCAGCCCGGGTCTCGGCGTCGAGAAATCAAAAAGTTATTCCTACCCTTCGGGTAAAATAGGGCCGAGGCGTCTGAAAGTAAGAACAGAACGCTCAAAGCCCGGGGGCAAAAAAGAGGGGTGCAACACGAGGAATTCCCAGGGGTCACCAATCCTAGTACTACTCTCGCCCAAGGACGCTTAACTTCGGGGTTCTGATGGGATCCGGTGCGTTCGTGCTGGTATGATCGCACCCGCTAGGGAATGCCCGCCCAAGCTAGTTATGCCGCCTCTCACGGCCGGCGTTCCATCTCGTCTTCTTCGTGGCGGCCGACCGCCACGGTAGTACGTCAGGTTCGGCCGCGGGGGACTCTCCTTCCGTTGTCCTCACACTTACGGACGGAATTACTGCGCTACGAGGGACCCAGCCCCAGCCCGGGTCTCGGCGTCGAGAAATCAAAAAGTTATTCCTACCCTTCGGGTAAAATAGGGCCGAGGCGTCTGAAAGTAAGAACAGAACGCTCAAAGCCCGGGGGCAAAAAAGAGGGGTGCAACACGAGGAATTCCCAGGGGTCACCAATCCTAGTACTACTCTCGCCCAAGGACGCTTAACTTCGGGGTTCTGATGGGATCCGGTGCGTTCGTGCTGGTATGATCGCACCCGCTAGGGAATGCCCGCCCAAGCTAGTTATGCCGCCTCTCACGGCCGGCGTTCCATCTCGTCTTCTTCGTGGCGGCCGACCGCCACGGTAGTACGTCAGGTTCGGCCGCGGGGGACTCTACCTCCGTTGTCCTCACACTTACGGACGGAATTACTGCGCTACGCGGAACCCAGCCCCAGCCCGGGTCTCGGCGTCGAGAAATCAAAAAGTTATTCCTACCTACGGGTAAAACAGGGCCGAGGCGACTGAAAGTATGAACAGAACGCTCAAAGCCCGGGGGCAAAAAAGAGGGGTGCAACACGAGGAATTCCCAGGGGGTCACCAATCCTAGTACTACTCTCGCCCAAGGACGCTTAACTTCGGGGTTCTGATGGGATCCGGTGCGTTCGTGCTGGTATGATCGCACCCGCTAGGGAATGCCCGCCCAAGCTAGTTATGCCGCCTCTCATGGCCGGCGTTCCATCTCGTCTTCTTCGTGGCGGCCGACCGCCACGGTAGTACGTCAGGTTCGGCCGCGGGGGACTCTCCTTCTGTTGTCCTCACACTTACGGACGGAATTACTGCGCTACGCGGGACCCAGCCCCAGCCCGGGTCTCGGCGTCGAGAAATCAAAAAGTTATTCCTACCCTACGGGTAAAATAGGGCCGAGGCATCTGAAAGTAAGAACAAAACCCTCAAGCCCGGGGGCAAAAAAGAGGGGTGCAACACGAGGACTTCCTAGGGGGTCACCCATCCTAGTACTACTCTCGCCCAAGCACGCTTAACTTCGGGGTTCTGATGGGATCCGGTGCGTTAGTGCCGGTATTATCGCACCCGCTAGGTAATGCGCGTCCAACCTAGTTATGGCGCCTCCCGCGGCCGGCGTTCGGTCTCGCCTTCTTTGCGGCGGCCGACGCGCCACGGTAGTACGTCAGGTTCGGCCGCGGGGGACTCTCCCTCCGTTGTCCTCACACTTACGGACGGAATTACTGCGCTACGCGGGACCCAGCCCCAGCCCGGGTCTCGGCGTCGAGAAATCAAAACGTTATGCCTAACCGACGGGTAAAATAGGGCCGAGGCATCTGAAAGTAAGAACAAACCCTCAAGCCCGGGGGCAAAAAAGAGGGGTGCAACACGAGGACTTCCCAGGGGGTCACCCATCCTAGTACTACTCTCGCCCAAACACGCTTAACTTCGGGGTTCTGATGGGATCCGGTGCGTTAGTGCTGTATGATCGCACCCGCTAGGTAATGCGCGCCCAACCTAGTTATGGCGCCTCCCGCGGCCGGCGTTCGGTCTCGCCTTCTTTGCGGCGGCCGACGCGCCACGGTAGTACGTCAGGTTCGGCCGCGGGGGACTCTCCCTCCGTTGTCCTCACACTTACGGACGGAATTACTGCGCTACGCGGACCCAGCCCCAGCCCGGGTCTCGGCGTCGAGAAATCAAAAAGTTATTCCTACCCTTCGGGTAAAATAGGGCCGAGGCGTCTGAAAGTAAGAACAGAACGCTCAAAGCCCGGGGGCAAAAAAGAGGGGTGCAACACGAGGAATTCCCAGGGGGTCACCAATCCTAGTACTACTCTCGCCCAAGGACGCTTAACTTCGGGGTTCTGATGGGATCCGGTGCGTTCGTGCTGGTATGATCGCACCCGCTAGGGAATGCCCGCCCAAGCTAGTTATGCCGCCTCTCACGGCCGGCGTTCCATCTCGTCTTCTTCGTGGCGGCCGACCGCCACGGTAGTATGTCAGGTTCGGCCGCGGGGGACTCTACCTCCGTTGTCCTCACACTTACGGACGGAATTACTGCGCTACGCGGAACCCAGCCCCAGCCCGGGTCTCGGCGTCGAGAAATCAAAAAGTTATTCCTACCTACGGGTAAAACAGGGCCGAGGCGACTGAAAGTAAGAACAGAACGCTCAAAGCCCGGGGGCAAAAAAGAGGGGTGCAACACGAGGAATTCCCAGGGGGTCACCAATCCTAGTACTACTCTCGCCCAAGGACGCTTAACTTCGGGGTTCTGATGGGATCCGGTGCGTTCGTGCTGGTATGATCGCACCCGCTAGGAATGCCCGCCCAAGCTAGTTATGCCGCCTCTCATGGCCGGCGTTCCATCTCGTCTTCTTCGTGGCGGCCGACCGCCACGGTAGTACGTCAGGTTCGGCCGCGGGGGACTCTCCTTCCGTTGTCCTCACACTTACGGACGGAATTACTGCGCTACGCGGGACCCAGCCCCAGCCCGGGTCTCGGCGTCGAGAAATCAAAAAGTTATTCCTACCCTACGGGTAAAATAGGGCCGAGGCATCTGAAAGTAAGAACAAAACCCTCAAGCCCGGGGGCAAAAAAGAGGGGTGCAACACGAGGACTTCCTAGGGGGTCACCCATCCTAGTACTACTCTCGCCCAAGCACGCTTAACTTCGGGGTTCTGATGGGATCCGGTGCGTTAGTGCCGGTATTATCGCACCCGCTAGGTAATGCGCGTCCAACCTAGTTATGGCGCCTCCCGCGGCCGGCGTTCGGTCTCGCCTTCTTTGCGGCGGCCGACGCGCCACGGTAGTACGTCAGGTTCGGCCGCGGGGGACTCTCCCTCCGTTGTCCTCACACTTACGGACGGAATTACTGCGCTACGCGGGACCCAGCCCCAGCCCGGGTCTCGGCGTCGAGAAATCAAAAAGTTATTCCTACCCTACGGGTAAAATAGGGCCGAGGCATCTGAAAGTAAGAACAAAACCCTCAAGCCCGGGGGCAAAAAAGAGGGGTGCAACACGAGGACTTCCTAGGGGGTCACCCATCCTAGTACTACTCTCGCCCAAGCACGCTTAACTTCGGGGTTCTGATGGGATCCGGTGCGTTAGTGCCGGTATTATCGCACCCGCTAGGTAATGCGCGTCCAACCTAGTTATGGCGCCTCCCGCGGCCGGCGTTCGGTCTCGCCTTCTTTGCGGCGGCCGACGCGCCACGGTAGTACGTCAGGTTCGGCCGCGGGGGACTCTCCCTCTGTTGTCCTCACACTTACGGACGGAATTACTGCGCTACGCGGGACCCAGCCCCAGCCCGGGTCTCGGCGTCGAGAAATCAAAAAGTTATTCCTACCCTACGGGTAAAATAGGGCCGAGGCGTCTGAAAGTAAGAACAGAACGCTCAAGCCCCGGGGCAAAAAAGAGGGATGCAACACGAGGACTTCCCAGGGGGTCACCCATACTAGTACTACTCTCGCCCAAACACGCTTAACTTCGAAGTTCTGATGGGATCATGTGCGTTAGTGCCTGTACGATCGCACCCGCTAGGTAACGCGCGCCCAACCTAGTTATGGCGCCTCCCGCGGCCGGCGTTCCATCTCGCCTTCTTTGCGGCGGCCGACGCGCCACGGTAGTACGTCAGGTTCGGCCGCGGGGGACTCTACCTCCGTTGTCCTCACACTTACGGACGGAATTACTGCGCTACGCGGAACCCAGCCCCAGCCTGGGTCTCGGCGTCGAGAAATCAAAAAGTTATTCCTACCTACGGGTAAAACAGGGCCGAGGCGTCTGAAAGTAAGAACAGAACGCTCAAAGCCCGGGGGCAAAAAAGAGGGGTGCAACACGAGGAATTCCCAGGGGGTCACCAATCCTAGTACTACTCTCGCCCAAGGACACTTAACTTCGGGGTTCTGATGGGATCCGGTGCGTTCGTGCTGGTATGATCGCACCCGCTAGGGAATGCCCGCCCAAGCTAGTTATGCCGCCTCTCATGGCCGGCGTTCCATCTCGTCTTCTTCGTGGCGGCCGACCGCCACGGTAGTACGTCAGGTTCGGCCGCGGGGGACTCTACCTCCGTTGTCCTCACACTTACGGACGGAATTACTGCGCTACGCGGAACCCAGCCCCAGCCCGGGTCTCGCCGTCGAGAAATCAAAAAGTTATTCCTACCTACGGGTAAAACAGGGCCGAGGCATCTGAAAGTAAGAACAGAACGCTCAAAGCCCGGGGGCAAAAAAGAGGGGTGCAACACGAGGAATTCCCAGGGGGTCACCAATCCTAGTACTACTCTCGCCCAAGGACGCTTAACTTCGGGGTTCTGATGGGATCCGGTGCGTTCGTGCTGGTATGATCGCACCCGCTAGGGAATGCCCGCCCAAGCTAGTTATGCCGCCTCTCACGGCCCGCGTTCCATCTCGTCTTCTTCGTGGCGGCCGACCGCCACGGTAGTACGTCAGGTTCGGCCGCGGGGGACTCTCCTTCCGTTGTCCTCACAATTACGGACGGAATTACTGCGCAACGCGGGACCCAGCCCCAGCCCGGGTCTCGGCGTCGAGAAATCAAAAAGTTATTCCTACCCTACGGGTAAAATAGGGCCGAGGCATCTGAAAGTAAGAACAAAACCCTCAAGCCCGGGGGCAAAAAAGAGGGGTGCAACACGAGGACTTCCTAGAGGGTCACCCATCCTAGTACTACTCTCGCCCAAGCACGCTTAACTTCGGGGTTCTGATGGGATCCGGTGCGTTAGTGCCGGTATTATCGCACCCGCTAGGTAATGCGCGTCCAACCTAGTTATGGCGCCTCCCGCGGCCGGCGTTCGGTCTCGCCTTCTTTGCGGCGGCAGACGCGCCACGGTAGTACGTCAGGTTCGGCCGCGGGGGACTCTCCCTCCGTTGTCCTCACACTTACGGACGGAATTACTGCGCTACGCGGGACCCAGCACCAGCCTGGGTCTCGGCGTCGAGAAATCAAATCGTTATAGCCTACCCGACGGGTAAAATAGGGCCGAGGCATCTGAAAGTAAGGACAGAACGCTCAAACCCGGGGGCAAAAGAGGGGTGCAACACTTACGGACGGAATTACTCTCGAACGCGCTACGTAGGACCCAGCCCCAGCAATGGTCTCGGCGTCGAGAAATCAAAAAGGAATGCCTACCCTACGGGTAAAATAGGGCCGAGAGATGGGATCCGGTGCGTTCGTGCTGGTATGATCGCACCCCTTAGGGAATGCCCGCCCAAGCTAGTTATGCCGCCTCCCACGGCCGGCGTTCCATCTCGTCTTCTTCGTGGCGGCCGACCGCCACGGTAGTACGTCAGGTTCGGCCGCGGGGGACTCTCCTTCCGTTGTCCTCACACTAACGGACGGAATTACTGCGCTACGCGGGACCCAGCCCCAGCCCGGGTCTCGGCGTCGAGAAATCAAAAAGTTATTCCTACCCTTCGGGTAAAATAGGGCCGAGGCGTCTGAAAGTAAGAACAGAACGCTCAAAGCCCGGGGGCAAAAAAGAGGGGTGCAACACGAGGAATTCCCAGGGGGTCACCAATCCTAGTACTACTCTCGCCCAAGGACGCTTAACTTCGGGGTTCTGATGGGATCCGGTGCGTTCGTGCTGGTATGATCGCACCCGCTAGGGAATGCCCGCCCAAGCTAGTTATGACGCCTCTCATGGCCGGCGTTCCATCTCGTCTTCTTCGTGGCGGCCGACCGCCACGGTAGTACGTCAGGTTCGGCCGCGGGGGACTCTTCCTCCGTTGTCCTCACACTTACGGACGGAATTACTGCGCTACGCGGAACCCAGCCCCAGCCCGGGTCTCGGCGTCGAGAAATCAAAAAGTTATTCCTACCTACGGGTAAAACAAGGCCGAGGCGTCTGAAAGTAAGAACAGAACGCTCAAAGCCCGGGGGCAAAAAAGAGGGGTGCAACACGAGGAATTCCCAGGGGGTCACCAATCCTAGTACTACTCTCGCCCAAGGACGCTTAACTTCGGGGTTCTGATGGGATCCGGTGCGTTCGTGCTGGTATGATCGCACCCGCTAGGGAATTCCCGCCCAACCTAGTTATGGCGCCTCCCGCGGCCGGCGTTCGGTCTCGCCTTCTTTGCGGCGGCAGACGCGCCACGGTAGTACGTCAGGTTCGGCCGCGGGGGACTCTCCCTCCGTTGTCCTCACACTTACGGACGGAATTACTGCGCTACACGGGACCCAGCCCCAGCCCGGGTCTCGGCGTCGAGAAATCAAAAAGTTATTCCTACCCTACGGGTAAAATAGGGCCGAGGCGTCTGAAAGTAAGAACAGAACGCTCAAAGCCCGGGAGCAAAAAAGAGGGGTGCAACACGAGGACTTCCCAGGGGGTCACCCATCCTAGTACTACTCTCGCCAAAGCACGCTTGACTTCGGAGTTCTGATGGGATCCGGTGCGTTAATGCTGGTATGATCGCACCCGCTAGGTAATGCGCGCCCAGCCTAGTTATGGCGCCTCCCGCGGCCGGCGTTCCGTCTCGCCATCTTTGCGGCGGCCGACGCGCCACGGTAGTACGTCAGGTTCGGCCGCGGGGGACTCTCCCTCCGTTGTCCTCACACTTACGGACGGAATTACTGCGCTACGCGGGACCCAGCCCCAGCCTGGGTCTCGGCGTCGAGAAATCAAAACGTTATAGCCTACCCGACGGGTAAAATAGGGCCGAGGCATCTGAAAGTAAGGACAGAACGCTCAAACCCGGGGGCAAAAGAGGGGTGCAACACTTACGGACGGAATTACTCTCGAACGCGCTACGTAGGACCCAGCCCCAGCACCGGTCTCGGCGTCGAGAAATCAAAAAGGAATGCCTACCCTACGGGTAAAATAGTGCCGAGAGATGGGATCCGGTGCGTTCGTGCTGGTATGATCGCACCCCTTAGGGAATGCCCGCCCAAGCTAGTTATGCCGCCTCCCACGGCCGGCGTTCCATCTCGTCTTCTTCGTGGCGGCCGACCGCCACGGTAGTACGTCAGGTTCGGCCGCGGGGGACTCTCCTTCCGTTGTCCTCACACTTACGGACGGAATTACTGCGCTACGCGGGACCCAGCTCCAGCCCGGGTCTCGGCGTCGAGAAATCAAAAAGTTATTCCTACCCTACGGGTAAAATAGGGCCGAGGCGTCTGAAAGTAAGAACAGAACGCTCAAAGCCCGGGGGCAAAAAAGAGGGGTGCAACACGAGGAATTCCCAGGGGGTCACCAATCCTAGTACTACTCTCGCCCAAGGACGCTTAACTTCGGGGTTCTGATGGGATCCGGTGCGTTCGTGCTGGTATGATCGCACCCGCTAGGGAATGCCCGTCCATGCTAGTTATGCCGCCTCTCACGGCCGGCGTTCCATCTCGTCTTGTTCGTGGCGGCCGACCGCCACGGTAGTACGTCAGGTTCGGCCGCGGGGGACTCTCCTTCCGTTGTCCTCACAATTACGGACGGAATTACTGCGCTACGCGGGACCCAGCCCCAGCCCGGGTCTCGGCGTCGAGAAATCAAAAAGTTATTCATACCCTACGGGTAATATGGGGCCGAGGCATCTGAAAGTAAGAACAGAACCCTCAAGCCCGGGGGCAAAAAAGAGGGTGCAACACGAGGACTTCGTAGGGGGTCACCCATCCTAGTACTACTCTCGCCCAAGCACGCTTAACTTCGGGGTTCTGATGGGATCCGGTGCGTTAGTGCCGGTATTATCGCACCCGCCAGGTAATGCGGGCCCAACCTAGTTATGGCGCCTCCCGCGGCCGGCGTTCGGTCTCGCCTTCTTTGCGGCGGCAGACGCGCCACGGTAGTACGTCAGGTTCGGCCGCGGGGGACTCTCCCTCCGTTGTCCTCACACTTACGGACGGAATTACTGCGCTACACGGGACCCAGCCCCAGCCCGGGTCTCGGCGTCGAGAAATCAAAAAGTTATTCCTACCCTACGGGTAAAATAGGGCCGAGGCGTCTGAAAGTAAGAACAGAACGCTCAAAGCCCGGGAGCAAAAAAGAGGGGTGCAACACGAGGACTTCCCAGGGGGTCACCCATCCTAGTACTACTCTCGCCAAAGCACGCTTGACTTCGGAGTTCTGATGGGATTCGGTGCGTTAATGCTGGTATGATCGCACCCGCTAGGTAATGCGCGCCCAGCCTAGTTATGGCGCCTCCCGCGGCCGGCGTTCCGTCTCGCCTTCTTTGCGGCGGCCGACGCGCCACGGTAGTACGTCAGGTTCGGCCGCGGGGGACTCTCCCTCCGTTGTCCTCACACTTATGGACGGAATTACTGCGCTACGCGGGACCCAGCCCCAGCCTGGGTCTCGGCATCGAGAAATCAAAACGTTATAGCCTACCCGACGTGTAAAATAGGGCCGAGGCGTCTGAAAGTAAGGACAGAACGCTCAAACCCGGGGGCGAAAGAGGGGTGCAACACTTACGGACGGAATTACTCTCGAACGCGCTACGTAGGACCCAGCCCCAGCAATGGTCTCGGCGTCGAGAAATCAAAAAGGAATGCCTACCCTACGGGTAAAATAGGGCCGAGAGATGGGATCCGGTGCGT